ATTTTTCAGAATCTGAAGATGGGTAATCAAGAAAAAAAATTAAGTGTGTCTGTTCCTTAATACCAGCATCCTTGTCTCCTCAACAGCCCTGAAAGTGTGGCTTAAAAAAACATATAGGCAAAGTAATTGCTGCCTCTGGGGTTTTTTTTTTTTTCCTTACACTGTCAGATACCTTTGACTTTCATCAAATATTTTAACCTCTCTGCACCTCAGCTGGCTTGTCAGTAATACTGCAGTAATTACTACTGATCTTGCAGCAGCAAGGTGAGGCTAACTCATGAGTTTTGGCAAAGCAATTTGCAACAGCCTGATGGAAAACAGCATAGAAGTAGAGTGTAAAGCTTTTATTAGTATTCTGCAGTGAGGACAAGTAGCTTCAGGAGGATAGCTGAAGTAAGCTGCTTTTTAGCAGTGTATTGCTAGGGCTCTGCCAGGATAGCCATGGGCAGAAATGTGGCTGTGAATCTGCTGCCAACTTCACTTTATGCCAAAACCTTGGAGGGAGAGGCTGACAGCTGCCACCAGGATGCAGCCAGGAGATGTGGGATGGACACTCGCAGCAGAAGTCATATCCACTTCCTTCCCCCTCCATTCCCTTAGCAGCACGAGGAGCAGCAAGTGCTGATTCTCCATGTCAGCTCTGCTAGTTTATTCCCTGTCTGCACCAGGAACAACCCTGTCCTGCTGGGGACACCAGTGGTGGTGTTCTGTTTCCTCTACGCTGTTTACTGGCTGTTAACTTTAACTCCGTGTACTTACGGTATTTGTTATCAGGACCTCCCAGGCCTTCCAGGTATGGCAGTGCAGCCAGGTTCTGTCTACAGAGTCACCAGGCATGCAGTTGAAGCTCTGACTATCTCTGGTTTTCTCTGCCATTTATACAGCAGTTTGCCTGGGCCCTAGAAACCTAAATTCATTTGATCTGCTACTGCCCTGAATATGTACTGGGAAGGGAGGTTGTAAATGGTAAAGTATTCTGTTTCACTTCCAACACTGGGAAATTGTTTTGCACTGAACTGCTTCAGTAGGAGTAGCACAATGGTTGCCTTACAAACCAACCATACCCCAGAATGTAATAATTAAATCTATTATTACATTCAGCTTTTACACAACAGGAACTGAGTCCACGCTTTCTTCTGACGAATCTGAACACATCTGGACTCACCCAAAGCAAGTGACTCAAAGGATTTTTAAGACCTGAATTTTTCTTACAACATTTAAAGGAAAATGAGAAGCGATTTTAAGGACTGCAGAATGTTTTAATAAAAGTGTATTGTACGTGCTGGTAAGAAGTCATGATTATGCATTATTCCTTCTTGGAGTGCCACTGATGTCAGCAAGTCAAAAGAGCTCACTGATGAACACAGATTGATCTGAAAGATGTTGCCCAATAACAAGAAAACATAACATCAGCAAGCAGATCAGATAAGCCCACAAGTTGGGGGCGCAGGATAACTAAAGAGAGAGGCAGACCAGATGCAGGATGAGGGTGTGAACATGTATGTGCTGCCTGTCACTATATGGCTGAGCTTTCGCTAGGAGCCCTGGGAGCACAGGGGACTGTGGCTCACTCAAAGTCTAAAGATATTTGCCATGTCTCGAGACACTATGCTTGACCTTCATTATTGCCCACGTGGCTTCTTAACCATTAGTATTGTGATAGCCAGATAAGCCCCAGTAACCCAACAGTGGTTTGCTGGCCTCACTGCAGTGCCTTATGAGAAGGAAGATGGGGTTTAATGCTAGCTGATGCTTTCTGGCAGAGCCGGGGCATGGAGGAGCATGTGAGCATGCTGCCTGCCATGCTTTCCTGTTAGCTGTACTGTAAAACCTTGCGGTTCTCAGTCACTTGCAGAAAGAGCAGAAAGAGTGCTGGGAGGACCTGAAGCTTAACTGCTCCTCTAGTTATTTGGTGAAGACAATGTGCTGTTGCTGCTGTGGTCATGCTGGCACAGTGGGGAATTTGCTATGAGCTCTAGCTGTGCAGGGGGGTTGTCGTAGTTTCACCTTATGTACCAGTAGAGTGCCACTTAGTTGCTCGCTCACCTCCCCTCTCCCCCAGTGCAGGAGGAGAGTCAGAGGAAAAGGCAAGAAAGCTTGTAAAAGTTAAGGACTATTTAATAATTGAAAATATATTAGAAGTATAGTGATGCTAATAATGCTACTACTAATAAGTAATTAAACCAGTAGAAAATAGAACATATGATACAATTGCTCACCACCCGCTGACTGACTCACAGCTAGGTCCTGACAAGTGAGAGTCCAAGCCCCGGAGTGGCAACATGAGACAAAAGCCAGCCGACCCCTCCAACCCACCAACGAACAAACCCGCCCCACCACTAACAACCATGCCAAGAGCTAATAAAGGAGCTAACAAGCTAGCCCCAGAGTCTTAACGACCCCGGCCACTTCCTGCCTCAGCACTGCGTGTTTGCGCTGTGGAATGAAACACTCCCGTGGCCAGCCTGGGCCAGTCGTCAGCACTGTGAAGAAAAGGATCTCTTTCCTGCCTCAAACCAGCACAGGTGTGCCTCTACAGATGACATTAAAAAGACATACTGAAAGCTGGCATTGAAGTTGCATCTTGAAAAACATCCAGAAACTAGAGAAAGTAGCAGAGGAGAAATTCAGAGAGGTCAGCAAAGCATACAGAATCTTACCTGGTATGAAAAATGGGATGATTATGACAAATCTACATAAGCAGGTTTAAGTGGAGGAGGTAAAGCTTACAATACACAGAAAGACATAAAACACTTGAGTTCTGAATACATAATCACTCATTTCTAGCCAGATATGTTTAGAGAATGAGTTTTCTGTTCAACGAAAGCCTCAGTAGTTACCAACATTTCTAGAATCCATGGGGAGCCCTGTGGAAGAAGAAGAGAAAGGAATAGATGCTTTTTTCCTATTCTTGGAGTTTCTCCTGTTCCAGGTGCTGGATTTACTTCATTTGGATCCTACCAAGCTGGAGGCTGTTCTTCCTCCATAGCGTCATTGAACAGCAAAGGGAACTTCAGATCGGTCATAGCAATGAGCAAATTACTCTGGTGTCAGAATTCCCACAGAAAGTATTGTGACGAATGGAAAAGAGAGAATAGAAACTGGTTTTAACCCCTAACATTCTCAACAGTAATTGGAAAGAGGCACCTGCGATAATTGGGTAAAGAAGTTATTTCTTTTAGAAATACTGTTAGGCTGCGCTGCTCTGAGGGATTAGCAGTCATATCTCTTGGGGAGATTTTAAAGAAATTCCACTTCCAGCTGATCTTTGACAACATTGTGGTTTGTCCATGTATTTGGTATTTATAAGCTTTATCAAACCATGAGAGAAATGAGCTTGAACAAATTAATGCTGGACTCTAATATTAGTCTTCCTCTTTTCATGCTGAGTTGTAATCAAGGATGGGATCTCTGACATTTCCAAAGCGACATTTAATATTTCTAAGGAAGATGCTTCAGCGGGATAAATTGATGTTTATAGGAAATACAATATTTTGGCAATATATATTATCATGGCCAAAACCAGTATATGCAAGCATTTGGACTGGTTGTTGGCTATTGATAACAAATTCAACATTTAATAGCGGGGGTTTTATTAAAAGTAAAGGAGAACGCGACAGCAGAGGGAAGTCCAGTGCAGGGGAATGCCATAAGGCTATATCCTTCGCGTGGCAACGGAGACCCTGGGAGGTTTGCCTGCGTTGTGAGACACCAGTCAGCGCGTTGTTGTGGAGCTGCAGCTCCCGTTTCCTGAGTAGCGCAGTGTGGTTGAACTGTAGGTATGTGTAAAGTAAAGGATGATCCCATGTCTAAAATGGAGATGGGAGTTACGTGGAGTCTTTTTCTTTTATTTTCACCTTTGAAAAATCATTTACAGATAATTTTCAAACATGCAACGCTGTTTTCAGGTGGAAAAAATCCAAAGCCTACGGGATTTCTAATCTAAATATATCAGAAAGCCAAGGTTTGAGAGAAAAAGCACCCCACATATCTGTGATTTAAAAGTGGGAATTTTGAGCAGGAACAAGTAGGGGTTGTTGAGGCCTACGCTGGGAAGTTGCTGCTTTTAGCCTCTTCTGTTGTAAGTGGAGGGAGAGAAGTTCCCTCAAAGTGTTGGTCTCCAAAGTTAGGCCCTTCTAAGATTTCTGACCGTGGGAGTCGCCCTGCTCCCCACCTCAAAGGACACATGGGAAGGTCGGCCTTCTAAAGAAGGCACCTGAAGTTATTAGCAGATACTGACTAGTCCAAACTTGCATATCGCTATCAACAGTAATTCTTCTGAAAGAAGAACTTCATAAGCTTCCTTCTTAAGAGCATCCTTCCCTTAATGGCTGATAATTAGGCAACCTGCACATGTACCTATTAATTTGGAACAGATTTACAAGGAGGGAATTTTGAAATTAGGCTCCTTTGTGTTTTGTGCTTGACTAAATAGTATTTATGCCTTAGTCAGCACAGGTGAGCACTTGAAAAGCAGACAGCAGATTTTAGCAGCTAGAAACATAGTCTCAGGAAAATAAAGGCTACTATTTCTTTTGTCATTGATCCTCTGTAGTACTCTTCGTTTGTTGCATGACTGTTCGCATCTGTTAGATTTGTACATTTGTCTTTATCAACTCTTTAATTCTTCTTCCAGGAAATTGATGGCAAATCATTACTGTTGATGACAAGAAATGATGTACTGACTGGACTTTCATTAAAACTGGGGCCTGCGCTGAAAATCTATGAATATCACGTCAAACCTCTACAGACACAGCATCTAAAGAACAACTCTTTATAGCGAATTGTCTAATTGAGGTCATGTTGTGCCTCAAACAATAAATAAGCAATTTGGTTTCATGTGATGGAACTTTGTAAAGAGAGAATATATCTATTAAGAATTTAAACCAAATTACAATATATATCCTATTGGATAGAGTTGGCAATATACTATATACTGAGTCTGAACTGAGAGAGGTGGTGTGTATTTTTCACATAGTACATAATGATTTTCTCTTTTAGGAGTTGTCGATGGGCATGTTGAGATAGCTGCATCCAGAACAAAAGGGTCGTTTGTCATTCTCATTTTTGAGCCAGACATGTTCTTGATTTCATGAATTAAAATACCAAAAAAAAAAAACCCCAACTCCCAAATAAAGTTTACATGCATCTTTGGGAGAGAAAAAACAATCGAAGTAGGTTTTGGCTTACCCTAAAGACCTACTAAAATTATTGCTACTTATAATTTTAGGATGGGACTGACACTTGCCAACTCACCCTTTTTTGCAGAGGGTCCTATTTTGACCTTATTAAGGTTTACTTGTGGTATGCTGCAATGTTTAAAGCTGTACATACAACTAACATAACCCCTTCGATAGCAGAAGGTGTTGCTGACAGGTGAAACTGGGTTGTGTATTTTTTGCTGTCTTTGAAATTTTCAACTTGTTTTCACCGGTTTTTAACAGTAGCTCTGTGTAAAGTATAGTTGGTTTTTAAAACTTCGTGTTGCTTTGCAAAACAAAAAAAAAAGCTTCATTTTATTCCTTTTTTAATTTATGATAACTTGTTTTCTAACATTATGCAGAAATTTGTAAAAAGAGTAAAATTCTGCACATTTTTAATATTGTCTGTCACTGGTGTTGTAGTGGTTGTTATTTTTTTTTCGTTAATGCTTTACTTAATGGTTTGAATGCTTGTTTTAAAAACTGAAAGAAGCTGTCTCGTCACCATACATCTCTGTTAAAAGAGAGTCTTGTTCAGTCTGTTTGTACCAGTTCCCTATTGGATAGGTTGCTCGCTGTATCCCAATAAAGCATTGCTTATGTTTGCTTCAGTTTACTTTACAGATCTCTTACTTTCTCTGTTTATTTGCTGTGGTATACTGGAGCTCCTGTTTTTCTCCATTTTCTCATTAAAAGGTACCAAAATTTCCCTAATATTCTATGTCCTGGTGATTACTTTTAACACCACCTACCATGATATTTAAATATTTCATTACTTTTGCTTTTTCTTCTCTAGGGTTATATACTGCTGAAGGAGAAGCGCTGGTCGCAGCCCGGCAGCAACATCTGTGCTTCTCTCGCCCCTTTCTAGAGCGGTCAGCGGGGCAGAGGTGCGGTGCTGGCCCCGGGGCAGCAGCCTGATTCACCCCAGAGGGCCTGGCAGACAGCCCGCAGGTGGTGCTGGGTGGTCTCTGGGCTCCCCATCTGCTCTGGCCCAGGGAGTTCTGTCATGACCCCTGAACCTGGGATGTGCATCAGTGAGGCCGAGCAAAGGAACCGGGATGTAGGGAATAAGTGGAAATGGTGGGAAATGGTGTGGGGGTGCAGCCAAGAAGGGGGGAGGTAAGAGAGAGTGGTGCTTTCTGCCAAGGCGGGGACAGGATTCAGCAAAAGGAAGGAGAAGCTCCTGGGATCTGCCTAGGCAGTGGCCCTGCCCGCACTTCTGACTTGGCCAAGTGCAAGGTGGCTGTCGATGCTACAGAGCTGGGAGAGTTGTGTACGGCTTCTGGTGTTGAGATTTGAGAGGGATAAAGCCACATTAATAGCTGTGCTGTAGGTAAAGCTGGCAGTATATGGTATGATGCATAAACTATGCAGATTTCTTGTTTATTTTCTAACTTTTTTTTGTACAACATATTTATTTGGAATTTGAGACATACGATAGGAGACAGGGATGTATTCACCATTTCTCCTTCTGTCCCTTGTACTGTGCTCACTTCAGGTATCGGTCTGTCAGCAGCAGCTTTGTAAGTCACAGTCTGAATTCTGCTTATGAATTTATTTACAGTTTGGTAGCACCCAGAGATACCTGCTGGGAGTAGGGATCTTCTGGAAGACTAGATTCAAATAGAGAGCATCGTCCCTGCCTTGGGGAGTTTTCAGGTACAGCCTGTATGAGGTTAATTATAGGCTGCAATTGAAAAATTATACATGAAACTCCTAAATATTTTAATACAGGAGTAACTATGTTTATGAAAACGATGATGTGAAGCAGCTGCCTGTAGCAGTCCAGAGATGCCTACCAGCCCTGTATTTGTAGAGCTATTGTTGGAGTAGGATACATAGTGCTACGTTACAGAAGGATGAATTGAATATTCTCTTTTTCCCTACTTGCACGTTTGGTGTGGGATTGACACCATTTTGTAGATCTATGGGTGACACAATTAAAAGTAAGACGTATTTATTCTATCAGACAGTAAAAAAATCTCCGCTGTACAGCTGTGAGAGCTCTTTAGGTGATTACTGCGCACCGTGTTTTCTTTTAACATGTTTTAATGAGCAAATGAATTGCATTCATAAACAGCCAGACTGTATTCCCTTTTTGATCAGCACCACTAACTGGCTCATACAAGCAGAGGCCCAACAGAAAGCTCGCTGCAAGTGTGAAAGGGACTTTGGAGGATGTTACTCAGAACTCTAACAATTTCTTTTTACTGTCCCTGATCCTTATTGTAGTTTCCTACTGTTCTCTGAGCTTTCTGATGCTGCTGTTCTTTTTGTGCAGGATTTTGTGTTACATTCTTCTTGCTGTTTCTAGGAGAACCAAAAAAAAACCCTTTTCAACAGAGACTGGAGGGTTTGAAAGAGGAAGTCAATGCCAGATTATTTTTAGCTGTCATTCCTCTTGCAGAAAACACAGCTGCTGTAGAGATGAGGAAGCGACTGATGGGCATTGCCGGATACCACGTCAGTGCTGCAGTGCTGAGAGCCGCAGAGCTGAGCAGGAGTCCGGTTGCTGTAACATGCCTCTAATGTGCCTGCAGCTAGGAGAGTCCCTCTCCCTTAAAAGCTCCCCTGTGCTTTGGGTGGGGGTTAAGCTGCCTGGTGTCCAACTGCTCAGCTGATGCTGGGTGTGAGCATGGTCTCCATGCTGCCAGTTGCACGCTGAAACAGCAATTTGGAGCAGCCTCCTCCTGGAGGCAGCTTCAAGGAGCAAATCAGCCAGCTCCACTGCCCTGCTGCCAGTCAGCACAAGAACAGAGACAAGCTGCAGTCAAGAGCTTCCCATTCCCTCTCCCTCCTCTTACCCTTCTCATATCTTCACTAGTGCACATCTATCAGAATCTCTCACAGATTCTCACTTTTAAAAATTATGTGGAAGGATTACGGCATTGCTTTTTTGATATGATGGTTGTGAAATACGTGTTGGTATTGTTCATCAGCTCCCATGTTCACTCTCCTCTCGAGCTGTAGCTAGACGATGCATAGCGTATTCTCTTTGCATCCAGATACAGTGCCAAGTACCACACAAAGCACATACGAGGCAACTGTCAGCAAAGCATGAAGGCTGGGGCTCTGCCTGTCCTCCGAGTTCACTTTCTCAGCCCAGAGAAAACTGTTTTGTCTGCTTGCTGATATCTCCCATCCCTGTGTGTTGTTACTCCCTTTGAAACAGTTTGCTCTAATATGCTGCACTTTATAAATTCGTAGAAAATTCTCTGCTCTTACAATTACAAGCCAAAACTCGGCAGCAGTAGCAAAGGGAGTTGTCACCCGTGCATCACTCCTGGTTAGAAATGGCCCAGGCAAAATGTCACGTCCGCTCTAAGTGATTATTTGCTGAATGATTATTTGCTCCCTTTTCACTGCTTTTTTCAATATGTTCAGATTCTACCAAGCCCTTTACCTCTCCCTCTTTGTAAAAATTGGCTTTTAATTGGAAAATTAGTCTTCAACACTCTTCTTTCCACTCTCACGCTTAAGTTACAATCACAGTCATTTGAAAAGCAGAGTATCTTATGTTCTGTGAGTCTGGAGGAAGCTACACATCTATTTCTCACATGTTTTAATGGCAGTATTGTCTAAATTTGAAGGCTGAGTCTGAGCAGGATCAGAAAAAAATCATCTCACTGTGTCTCCGTTCTGGTTCTTTACTTCCAAGTCAGAACAGCATTTCTTTCCCTTCCAGGAATATGTTTTAATATGATAATGTAACAAATGTAATTCTTTTTTTTATTATTTTTTTGCTTAGCCCCTGTAATTAGGGACTCGTTTGATTTAGTGACAATCCTTTGATCCCAGATGTGTATTCAACTTACTCCCAGAATAACAATAGCTGGTAGACGCTGTAAATTTGGGGAATGCAACTGTAGCCTCAAACACCTGGAGAGCCCAAGGGGAGCACCATGAAGACTGTAAGTGTCCCTTGGTCTCCACGGGGGAGCTTCCTGGCTACTGAAGGGTGCTGGTGAGTGCTGGCGACTGCTGCGGTATTTATACGCTGCGCTCGTGAGCATCTTTGTTGAAGGAACGGTTAGCGGTTGTAACTGCTGTGTCATCAGCTGATCTGCTGATAAGGCAACAACAAATGTCTTGGCACTGGCAGGCGTGCACTCATCTCAAGATGTTTTCTTCCCCTTTTCAGATGGTTGCCATAAGCCAGCTGCCCCTCTGTGGACACCCCACAGTACTTGCCGTGCTGAGAATGCCCCGACTTTGTGGCAGCTAAATCGTACCAAAAAAGGGAGGGAAGGCTCATCGTTTGCACTGATCTCTGAGTAACAGTGCTTGTCTTGTGCTGGTGGATTGCAGCGGGAGGAAGGAAGTGAACATTAAGGAACTTGTCTTTCCCAGCTGGTGGCCAAATCACAGGGAGAAGTGTGGAAGCGGGTGTGTGCCTGGGTGTAGCGATCCAGTTTCACAAGGATACTCCCTTTCTACTCCCTCCTCCCTTCTGTACAAACACCACATGCCAGTATGCCTGGGCTTTTCTACCTGGAAATGTGTGTAATCCCGAAGATTTGGAAACACTGAAGGAGTACAAGGCCATTAAAACTTGAGCTCTTGTCTTTTCCAGTCAGATGCAGATGTTAGCGTGGGAATTCATGCCTGATGCTGCTCTTGAGAGGTGGCAGAAGGCCCCCTCAGTACCCGGCCACTCTGGTTTCTGCTGTTGTTTCCCCTACCCCCTTCTTTTGCTAGTTCTGACTCCCTCCAATATTGTTTGGTTTGGGTTTGGGTTTTCAGCTCTGAAGTAGCCCAATAAGACAGAATCTTGCCCACACTGATTTTTTTTTTTAAATTTTCTCTTCTCTCCCTTCTTCAATCTGATATTTTTTACTATCTCCCTCCTCTTCCCTCCCCTGCTCCACCTTTCCTGATGACCTTCTAGCATCTCTCACCTCTGCTGCCTTATGTTCCCATTCCAGGCTGCCCGCCCTGTGCACATCAGGACCTGGGCTACAAAGGCAAGCGTTCACTTGCAGCGATACCTGACCTGCTGTGCTCGGCTAACAGAATGATCACCTTTGCTTCTGCCCCCCAGGTCTGGGGAGCGCTCCACCTCTCTCTGGCAGGCAGCAACGGGGCGTGTGCCCCTTTCCTGGTTCTCTCTGCTGCTTTTTGTGAGGTGAACTGCTGTCCTGGTGGGTAGTTTGGGCTGGATCTTGGAGGGAAGGTGGCAGGCTTCAGCTCCATGCAGCTGAGAGTTTGCAAGTCTGCAACTAAACTAACCTCAGCTCATGTTTCTTTTTTGATTGCCCTAGGTCAGTCGTGCACCGGCTGATCTAGTAAGTGCCGTTTGTACATACGTTTTTGTATGTATATATATATATGTTGACACATCCATACGGGACCAGGTGTGTGTGCATGCGCTAGGGTACGTGTGTGTGGCTTTTCTTTCTCAGCCTGCTATGAATGGTAAGGTTCCGTCTCTGAATCACAAAACAGTTCATATCCTAATTATAGCCAAGATGTGAGTTGACATTTTTGATCCTATGGCTGGAGACACTGACTACGTTCCCGTTCTAGATTCAGCTGTGCACTTCCCAGGAAGATGAGGGTTGGCTGTTGTACCTACAGAGATAGTGGGATTCTAACTTCAAAAG